CATCTATTTATCTTTGCCTTCACTATTGTGGCGTTGGGTGCTCTGTCTTTAAAGATGTCACTGAAGTGTATGTCGTGTAGTGTTTGACCCATCTTTGCTTCTAGGTATTTTATGGTTTCCATTCTTATGTCTAGGGATGGACCGATAATTTTACAGAATTTCCTAAAATAGCCTAAAATCTGATGTTTCACTTGGAAACAAGTTTCTCAGAGGTGGGTAGAAGGAGGAGAAACGAGAAAGGTGGACCCCAAACACACAGAAGCTGGAGATTTGAAGTCTCAGTCAGGGGTGGTGAGGTGATGTCTGCTGGGTGGCAGGTGCCTGCAGAGGAGAAGCACCAGGGACCCCTGAGAGCAGCAGCACCAGGACCCCAAGACCTGTGCAGAGGAACTTTTGAGCCTTAAAGGATTTGCATAAAGGCAAATGAAGACTCCTGCAGACCTCAGAAATAAACTTTTGGGGCAAATTTTAAAAATAAAACACCTCAAATCTTAAAGGCCCATTTTTTTTTTAAATGGAAGTTTATTTTTATGTTCCATGACCGTATTTTACAAGCATAGAACGAGGACACCAAATGTGACAAGGATGAATCAACTATGGGGTAATAGGACAAAACATTTCCAAGTGGCACTGAGGCAGAGTATCTTAGAAATAAGTTGCCCTGCATTCGAGGCATCGTCTTTAAGGGATATTTGCTCTCCGGAGGAGGATGCAAAACCCTTCTATGTTGCTTCCCCTTTCTAAGTTGGGGGAGGTAAGATAGATGATTGCCCTCTGTTTTAACATAGTTGGTTTTTTGTTTGTTTGTTACAAATAAAATCCACTTATTAAGTGACCTCGTGAAACTTTGCATTACAGGGATCAAGTCCCTGAGTCAGCAGGGAGTTTGTGATAAAGAAAGATAGTATGGGATAGAGACTTTTGATCAAAATGAGACGTGAGGCCCTCCCTGGTGGCGCAGCGGGTTAAAGCACTGCACTGAGAAGCTAAAGCCACTTCCGCATGAGTTCGATTCCCGCCTGCCCCGGAGGAGACCACATGGCGTGGCAGATCTCTCCTGACCCGCCCACTGCTCCCCTCAGCAGTGTACTTCGTCGATCTGCCTGTTCTGCTCCCCACTTTGTCTCTGGTGAAGCCTCTCACCGCCCCTGAGCCTCTGGCCTGTACCCCAGTTCTGTATGTACAAATAAATAAATCTTTAAAAAAAAAAAAAATGAGACGTGAATCCAGCATTTGGTCAGATAGCTTGTGCTCACTTTTTTGAGGAGGTTAATTAATCAGTGCATACGTTAACTAGTGCTCTGATTTCCCATGGAGTACGTGACGCTGATAAGGAGAGTATTAGGGAGCATGGCAACTGGTGAGGTAGAACT